AGCCTTCTCTTCTCCAGGCTGCACACCCCCAACTCTCTCAGCCTGTCCTCGCACGGGAGCTGCTCCAGCCTCGGACCATCTCCGTGGCTCCTCTGGACCCCCTCCAGCCGGTACCGAGCAGAACTCCACCCATCCTCCAATCCCAGTGGCTTCATCAGGACCCCCCCGGCTTCCCCCTTCGGAGCTGCTCTCACCTTGGTAACGTGGGTGGTGGTGGAGGTGGAGAGGGTTTCCGCAGTGGCGCTGAATATGCTGGTGAGCACGTCCTTCCCCGCGGAGCCGCTGGTGATCTGCAGGACAGAGAGCAGCAGCGGCATCAGCAGGACCACCACAGGGAGCCTCCATACTGGCTCCTGAAGAGCTGCGACCCTCCCACTGGAATGCACCAACTCAGCCAAGCACGGGAAGGGAGAGAGTGGCAACGGAAAAAAAGACACTGCGCTGTCTGACGGGACCTAGGTGTTTTGGGGAGGCCAGCGAGAGGTTTCCACAGCTACCACCAGCCTGGAGCTGCAGGAAAGGGCCTCTGCAGCAGGCAGATAAGCTCACGGCTGCATTTGGCTCTTCCCCATCCATCCTCAGGGCCACCCTACGGGCAGAGCTCTCAGGCTGCCTCCAGCTCTGTCCGTCCCGCTCTGCGTGGTGAGGGCTGGGACGGCTGCGTGGGTGCCCCGGCCATGCAGCGCTGGGGACACACTCCCTGTGGCAGCATGGAGCGTGCAGCCAGGCTTGACTCCACTGAAACGAGGCAATCGAGGGGGAGAACACTTCACACGGGAAAGCCTGTTGCTGGGCAGCGGTCTCAATGACTGTCACCTCCACCGGGAGTCGGGTGGTTTGGTGTGTGGCCTTGGGTGGCCAGGCGGGACACCCAGGGCTAAAGATACCTCAGCCCGCTATGAGACCTCACCAGGGACTGGGCTACTTTCTGGGAATTCTCCTCCAGCAGATGCTCAAGGGGCATGTCTGGCACAAGGAAATGCCACGGGCAGGGGGTCCCCTCCCGTCATCTCGCTCCCCAACCTTCTGAGCATCCTTCTGCTCTTCCCAGTGCAACACGCCAGCCAAGGGTGCCAGTGCTGGGGACACAGGAGGGGGCCCTGCGGGACCAACCCCAGCCAGCCCCCAGCCCCTCAGGCTGCCTCCCTCCCTCCCCACCACTCGGCCTGTTTGCTGCCACCACGTCCCCCCCTCACCGGTGAGAGGGAGCGAAGGTCTGTCGCGGGAACGGTCCCTTTCCCAGCCTTGGTGCTGTGCTCCTGAAAGAAGAGCAGACAGGTGCGTTGGCTCGGACACAACGCGGGGGCAAACGTGGCAGGTCACCCTCTGCAGACATCCCTGGTGGGGCAGGGTCCCCCCGCAGCACAGCCAGCCCCCGTCACCCTCGCCAGAGCAGAGGGACCGCAGGGGACAGCGGCTCCCCCCCCTCTCTAGGGGTCAGCCCTGCTTACCTAGGGCCCC